ACTCCGTTTCCTGGGATCGAACCTGGTTCCTCCACGCGACAGCCAAGCACGGTAACCATTCGGCCACGTAAGCGCTCGCTCGGGGACGCGCGTGACAATATAGTTTACAAGCTCCCATACAAAAATCTCCTATGGTTGACTATAGAAAATTCTTTGTATGGTCGACTTTAGCTAGTTGGTCCAATTAGCTAAAGAATTTTCTATGGCTTCCTTTAGCATCTTTTATGGTCGCCTTTATGGGCCTCTTTAGTTTTGTTTATGACCCTATCGCTGTTCAACCATAGCGCTCTTTAGCTTTTCTAAAGGTTGGCTAAAGAATTCTCTATGGCTTACCCTATGGCTCTCTTTAGCCAGCAAACTCTAAAAAAAATTTTACTTCAAGTTCTCCCGACTTGTAAACGCTACATGGCGTACGTCTCTGAATACACAGAATACATCGAACACAAGCAGAACACTACCCCACAAAACAGCAATAACGCAGCGGCACCGCACCCCCGCCCCTTTCTGCATATCCTATGTTCGCACTAGCTGTATATATGGCAGTCTAATTTTTGAATCCGACTTTGCCGGTGATCCATCATTTGTCGCAAAAACACGGAGAGGTGGAGCAAATATTACCGTACTTAATACATTATTTGTACTATCTCCTGGATTAGCCCCCATCTGTTAATTCAGCACTCTGAGTAACGGAAATGTAGATCATTAGGCTAATTAACTAAAATTTATGAATTATATTTTTAATAAGCTTGATGAATCGTGTTGACAATGAAGTGTTGAAATGCAGTACACTGGTGGTGAACATTGCAACCAAGTTATTGCTTGATTGCAGTGTAATCTATTTTCAGTTTTGGTGGGGTAATAGTTAATTTTAATTGTTGCACAAGTATTTCGATGGATTTTTTAAGCAAACAATATTACTGGTTTTCAAGACTCGTTGCAACACCAGAGGACATAATTTGGGTCCTCCTTTGTCACCGGTATTACATAAATTTAGTATTGCTTTAATTTTCTAACTTGGAGCGTTTTTCCTATAAAAAGGAAATACCGAGAGTGATAAATATAATGACTTTGGTATCACAGCAGACGACTAAAATGAGACAGCTAGTCTTCGGTGATATAATTCGACCACTCGAAAACATCAAGTTGCCCAAGTCAGAAAATTCAAAAGCCCGTGTTGAGAATTTTAGTAGATCGTTTAGCAGACCGCCGCTGGCGCCACTAGCAAGGAGGAGGAATTTTCAGACTCGTTGCCATAAAAACTTCAATGGACGGGTAAAAAAAAAAAAAAAAAAGATTGGTTCCCAGTTTTTAGACTCGGCGCCATAAAAGTTTTTATAGGCGGGTAATGAAGATTTATTGCCTCCCTGTTTTTAGACTCAGGGCCATAAAATTTTCTATAGGCGGGTAAAGACAATTTAATAATCCCCTGTCTTTAGACTCGTGGCCATAGAATTATCTATAAGCGGGTAAAGAAAATTTATTGGTTCCCAGTTTTTAGACACAGGACCCTAGATTTTTCTATAACCGGCTCTAGCTGTATTTATGGATTTCTATGGCCGACCATAGAAAGCCATAGGGGATGATAGCCTAGCTGCCATAGAATTTTCCATAGACGACCATAGACCATTTTTGTATGGGAGTGCACGGGACTTTGTTTTGACCTCCCTGAAAGGGTTGCAGGAGTGGCGGAAGAGCTGGGTTTTGATGATGATAGGTAAAAGAACGGAAAAACAGAAGATTATATTCACAAAACAGAGGTTACAAGATTGTTGCATGTGGTCTAGAGAGGCACGATAATATCACAAAAAAATTAATGGGCAGATGATTCAGCGAGAAACGGAAATTATAGCAAAATTTAAATGGGAAGGGGGGTTTAAATCTTTCTAGGCTAGGTGGCGCAAATCACCGCTTGATTTATAGGGTGTAACCAATAGCAACCATCCATTCATAGATGTATGTCAGATGACGTCCGGTGGCTGGAACTACTCCAATCGGCTTCACGATGGCTGGCAAAAAAAAAAAAAAAAAGCGAAGACAGAAGAAAACATCGCTGAGCAGAAGGGCTCAGCATGTTTGTAGTGCCGCTGAGACGTCGGAAAGGAGAGAACAGCACTTGGTTAAGGACAGAGCAAGGTGGGCGTGTTCTGCTATGACCAATTCCTTTGTTAGGAAATGACGTTTGTGTCAATTAAATCAGCGAAATATGGCCTTCATAAAATAAACTTTGAAAATCGGTCGCATTCCAAAGTCGTCTGCAAAGATGCACCGCAGATACATAGCCCCTTTTGGTGTCTGTCATCGTATTCTGAGCTTTTCATTATCTGAGGTTTTTCAACGGTACCAGGGAGTTAGGCACTACGGAGCATCAAACCTGTACTGTCATTCACAAAGCTACCAGGTCTAGTCATATTGAGCTATCTTGAAAAAGGAAATTTTCTTCTATAGCTCGCGTCCGTGTTGGGCAAGAGATCGAACTATAGGGTGCGCTCTGACCCGTTTGTTGTCCCCACGCCTCGGTGTTTACTCAACACAAGGCCTGCGCACATGCCGACAGGCCTTATGGGCATGTCCATGTCATCTTCTACAATAGAACGCGGGGCACATTGTAATGTAAAAAATACTGACAATCAACGAAGTGACGTTAAGTGTTGGATCTATCCTGAAAGCAGTCGTCAGAGGATGCGAGTTTGACCCACTTGGGCTTTTGTGCTGAGCTGGGCACCCTGCATGCTGCATTGTTCATGTAGGCCGGAGTGGTAACAAAAGAGCCCCTCCTCCCCCTCACCGGAGAACACAAACTCCAGCCGAACGCTGACGCCGCGTTCGGTTATGTCGGCCAAGCGCTGAGTAATTGTATTTGTTGTCCTCATCCGTGTAGTTCTAAAGTTATCCGCTTGGGACGTCACGGTCACTATTCCTCCCCAATAGCTAAACTGTAATAAATCTCGAACGTTTACTTTCTTCAGAAAGCGCTTGGTACCGCCAATTGCAGTAGCCTGCGGAGGGAAGAATGACAAGCATGAACGTATGGTTAGATCTAAACAAAAACTATTATTTGCGTCGTGGCTCCGAGCTCGGCGAAACGGTGTGCAAAATGAAACAGCGGAGACTCTTTTTCAGGGTCGAAAGATATGTTCAGCCCCTGCTGACTTCCCCGGGTTTTTTTGTTCGAGTATCGAGTTCGATATCGAGTTTTTTTGTTTTTGTTTTTCACCACAAAAGTGAACTACGCATCGCCGCCCAAATGTACAAACTAACGACCCGAAACAAATGCCAAAGTTTCAGATCTAAGCGTTATTTAATAAAAAAGGTCGAAAGTGATTTTCTGAAACTTTCAACGGGAACATTGTTGTCGACGGAGTTTTCGAATATATGAAGCTGAATGGCGCCAGTTTTTGAAAACGGGCAAATGTGGGACCCATTTCCACATTGACATTTTCAGAAAACCACCTATAACTTTTGAATGCGGTAATGATTAGCTCCGAAACTTTGACATCTGGTTCGCTGGTTCGAACCCCTAGCGCTACATTTGAATGCAGAATGACCGCTCGGCGATGCGTAATACATTTTTGCTGTGTAAAAAACAATAAATATTTTTGTAGGAACCCATTGTTGAGGCTCCAGATACCTTAAAGTGTAGTCTGGACTGTTCTAAATTTAATCATTTTAAACACGTATAGTCGGCGGACTCTAGGCCCAAGATTACGGCATGCTGATGTTAAACAGTTTTGTCGACAGCTAACGCCAGTAAGTAGTACAGGGTGTTCTCGAGCGCCGTTGGGGCGTGAACAAAATTGTGTAATAAGATGAGCGGAGTACACTGAAACTTTCGACAAATGTGTCGTGAGGTGGTGCATTTATCAAACTCCAACTTTGCGAGGAGAAAAAAGAGAGAAGAAAGCAAAAAGAAATATTATATGCTTTTATGCGCGGGATGAAAACAGGAGCAAACCGTTTGGTCAACGCTGCTACACAGATGTCACAAGGCAGGCTCGGGTCTGCTGGATTTGTTTGAGGTTCTCATATAAGTTCTCACGTTTGTGTACCATGTGGTGCTGTATTTGAGTGGCAGCGCCCCCTGACAGTTCGGTTCAGCTTTCCTTCCAAGCATACAAAGCTGGTTCTTCTTTTTTTTTTTTTTTCATTTCTTATTAAAAATTTACATTCGCAAAATTCGAGCATGAGAAATGCACCCCCTAAACACATTTTTGTAAAAAAAGTGAAAGCCGTTTACAACTTCCTGTAACGCCGAATTGGAGCGCAGCTCTTGAGGAGGAGTGGAGGGTATATTCCTCCTCCTCCCTCGTGATCATGCCTGCTAGTCCTCCTCCCCTCCTGCTCCCCCTCCCTCCTTTACCCCTCCCCTCGAGGTCACGTGACCCCCCGGACCATACTAGACAATGAGGGGAGGAGGAGGAGGGGAGGGCGGAGGAGGAGGAGGGGGAGGGGCGACGCCGACGCCAACGCCGACGCCGCACAGGCTGGAAACGGGTCATGTGACCCCCTCCCCCCGAAGTCACGTGACCCGCCCGGACCATACTACACAATGAGGGGAGGAGGAGGACAAGGAGGGGGAGGAGGAGGAGGGGAGGAGGAGAGGGAGGGGCGCGGTTACGCCGACGGCGACGCCGACGCCGCTCAGGCTGGAAACGGGCCCCTAAGAGCTGCGCTCTAAAACTTCTATCCATATTAGCTCAATTACATGCATTTTATTACACACCAACACCTGTTAAGAACACCTTGTATCTGCGCCCTACTGTTATGTACCGAGAGAGACGAACACATCGTAGGCTTAAGCGCTATTGCGCCATATGCTATTACTATAAAAGTTAAGCTCGAGAAAGACAGCTCTGGCTGGGGGCGGTAGGTGTTCGAATGCCCTTGCATGGCACGCAAAAACCTGGTCACGGTCTAGGGCCTCACGTGCTCGTGCGCTGGCGCCAGCGTAGCCTCGGGGTCGATACAGTACACTCACATTTTATATTTTATTTCCCGCGTAGGAAAATGCCACTGTCATTGTGGTGGACTGGTCCGAAAAAGCAGAGGATACCTATTCCGTGGCGAGGAATTATTCAAGCCCGATGGCCTTCGGCATGGCATGGCTTGTGAAGATTCTGGTCGAGGCCGGTGCTCTCCAAGTGTCCAAAGTGCATTACATCGGTCACGGCCTGGGGGCCCAGGTCGCAGGATACTTCGCACTGGGTCTCAAGTTGATTATGAACGGTCAAAAGATTGGCAGGATTACAGGTGAGCCATTTCTTCTTTTTTTTTTATCACATTTGTCACATCAAAACAAATAATATTCTTACGGAGAACTACTTGATTGATTGATTGATTGTTTGATTAATTCATATTTTTTTGGCACGTTTGTCGAGCAGGGTGTGACAAAAAGGCAATCCAAATAACATGACCAGGTACCAACCACCGGTAGTGCACTCAAAAAGCAGGCCTACAAATTCGAAAAAAAAAAAGAGACCAGTTTTCACACCACACAGTACAAGGTTACTGCGCTAGAGTACAGCTGATTAAATAAGCCCTTAACATTTATTTGAAAAAGAAACACGGAAGAGGTTTTATGGACCAGTTGACAAATCGAAATGTGTCTTTTGGGGATATCCCGAATATAATAGAAGAATTTTTCAGTTCCGTAATCAGTCCTTACTCGGGGCTTTGGGAATTTCTTACATAGACACCAGCGTCATCATCGGCATATTATTTATCATCTTCATTCTTGTAATCATCACCACTATCGGGCGGCTGAAAGCCGGTGTTGGCAGTAATTCGTCACAAGTAACGGAGTTGCCCTTGAGGTGTTAATTTTTTTGTTTTTGGTAAAGCAGTTAAATATTTATTACGTTTTTAAGACAGTAACAGACAACGTACTTACGTTACTTATTTCGGGTAGCGGAGTTACGTTTCTCGTTTGTATCCTCTTCACAAAGCTTAAAAAATTAACCACCTTTTTTTTTCTAGTTCTGAAGTCATATTAATTCTTGTTGCAGACCAACGAAACTCTGAAGGCACGCTCTTCGCTGCTTTTGAAATGCAACAAACATATGGTGCTTATGCATACCTGTAACGTCAAAACAGTAAACCGTTTCATTTTATAAAATAAAGTAGCTCAAACTAACGTGCGTTACTTTTTATCGGTAACGGTTACTGGCCCCGTTCTTTTCTTATTTATGTAACCGGCAACTGTAACCGGCTTCCTCTATTTTGAGGTAACGTATGTCCGTAACTTGTTTCTTTTGTTCGCGTCTAAGGGGTAACGTATTTCGCTACTTTTCGGGGTTAACGCAACACTGCTTGAGACAATCCGAAATGGTTTTATCTGTTCTGCGTCCCATGCAGTACCATTAAAAACTGCTATAAAAAACCAACACAGTTTTTATAATACAAATGATTGGCAGCGTCCCTATTCCTTACAGTATCAAATCAAAGCAGATTAATTCAGTGTTCATACCAACTGATGTTGTTCCACCAAACCTTTAGAAGGAGAAGAAAAAAAAGAGTTCCGAGGACACCTAAGCACTTCTTATGAGTTGTGAATACGAAAGCATGGATGTCGTTCTTCCGCTCCCTTAAGGTGCATTCACACTGGGAGCAGATCCGCGTTCGCGAAGCGGTTGCGATTGCGATTAGTGAGCGACCCCGTTCAGACACCGAGAGGCGGTTGGCGGTTTTTCGGCGATCACGCGTGATCTTTTGAGACTTGCGTTTCGCAACCCTGTTTTTGCAATCCCAAATCCACTTTATTCCACGATCCAAAGCCAAAATTTTGCTATTTCTGGATTTTTCTTTCCGGATGTTTGCACGCACCACGAGTTCAGGCAATGAAATAAGAGGAATGGACCCGTGAAACTCGCATGTGATTCTTTCAACTTCGCTCACAAGCAAAGCCCAGCTAGGCGCGCCTTGGTGACTCAGAACAGAATGCCCCCGACCTTTTTTTTTTTAAGTGGACCCTTCCCGCATGAATAGCTGACGTTGTTTTCGGGATAGAGGGCCAGTTTTCCCTCCTCGTTCGCTCTTATCATTTTCGAAGTTATGAGCGGTGTGGCAAACCGTGGTGCGGGTAATGTGTTTGGTGCTAGCCGATCGTGGCTTTATTGGTAACGGACTCTACTCACGTGACTCTCACGTCGATGGGGTCTACTGTTTGTTTGAAATTAAGTTCAAATAAACGCCCTATGGATTACCCCTGCATCGTCTGGTACGCACACTTTATTCCTTGAGTATCTTCCCTTTTTAATGTGAAAGCATTAACTGGGGGGGGGGGGGGGGGGGGTCTGATGGAGCGAGCCGACGTCATCAGCTTTGAAACCTTGCAAAACGGCACCTTAATGAAACCACGTGCAAAGCTAGCCAACGGCACCTTTTACACTTCAGTCCCACTGGCTGGCGCGCGTCAACGAGGCACCCATTGGCCGCTGCGCGTCAGTTTGTGTGGTGTCATCCTGACGGTGTTATCACACTGTTATCACTGATCACCGCGTTCGCTCGCCTCTTACCGGTTCTACGGCGTGTGAAAATAGGTGACATTCACTTGACGTCACTCGCTAGGTGTGCTGGCACCGGCCACCACGGTCGCCATCTTCGAGGTCTCTTTCTATCCCACGTAGGCGTCTGCAGTCGTCTGGGTCAACGCGTATACCTTTCAGCGTGGTTTAGCAGTATTTTACAACATTAGAGGGTCTTTTAGGGCGAAACTAGGGGTCATTCTTATACGTTAGTGCTTTTGAAACGCCGTAGAAATATTTTTTGTGTGTGTTTTAGTTCGTTTTTGTCGCTATCGAATTTGTCTGCCGCGGTCGCGTTGCTCCAGCGGCTCCATGCAGCGCTGCGTGTCGCGCGCCGTGCCCACGGCGGCAGCTCTTATGAAAGGACTATGATTTTTCTACTTTCGTGCTTTTTGTAGCTCGGTGCGATTACTCTTTGTTTTGTTAGTTTCTTTATAGTTTTTTCTCCAGCGGATTTTCTGCACTACGGCCGTGGCGAGGCGCGACCACATTGGCGTTTCGGAGGCCTGCGGCGCGACGGTCGTCGCTGCCGGTTGCCGGCGGAAACCAGTTTTCGGCTTCAACGTCACGACGTGCGGCGCCGCACACCCAACCCAGAGCCGTTGGGCCGATGGGCGGAGCTTGTTGGCCGCTAGAACCAGCGGATTTCGCGATAACACAATATGGCGTTACTTCTTTGTCTTGTTCATTCCTGTGAAATCGCGTAGAGTTCCTATGAGGCAGATCCACAATATGGCGGACGGAAGTAGTCATCCCCCGGTTGTCAGACTACGCTGCTGTGGTTGTCAGACTGCCAAAATCTCCTTAAGAAGGCCAAACTCTCTCAGTATAAACGGCTCTGACCCAACCGCTCCGTGCGCGGTTCAGAGCTTGACGCCGCACGCCGCAGAAGAGAGGAGCCAATGGGAGGTGGCGCAGATAGTGACGTCGCGATGCCATGGCAACGCTCAAGCCGGTCCTCGGCGCCTCTCGAAGCGAAGGACGTTTTTGGTGTCGTCTGCTCCCCCTATTTCCCCCCGATGCCTTCCCCAACGGAGCGGTTCCTTGAAACTAACCAATTCAGAATTACAAGTGAGTTTCTCCGTGGCACTTGTTGCATGTCGTCTCTGTTGTGACGGATGTCGTGTTGATTTGGTGACACTTTCGAAAGTAGCCTTCGTCTCTGGCGCGCCGCCGGGGCAGCAAAGCCCCGGCGGCGCGCCAGACCTCTCCTGTCCTTCGGTGTTTCGGTAGAACCAACCCGGCCGGACCCAAAACCTGCGCCTCCTTCCCTTCAGAGCGCGGCGACGTCGCAAGATCAACGAGCAGGCTAGGATAATCACATTCACGCTGATCATGAACTCTTACCGTATAGACAGCGAGTGCGGAACGGAAGAATCTAACGAAGAGCAGACGCTGAGCGGGAAATCCGACGGGAGGCGCGATCGCGGGAACCAGTGCTGTCACGTGACGCCTGCAAAACGGAGGCCAATGTGGACTCCTCGCGTTGGGACGCCGGACGGCGGTACCGCCCGGCGGCGCCGCCCGGCGGTGCCGTACACGCTAGTGTGGTCGGGCCTTTAACCGTGTTGCTCCGTCGCCTCTGCCTTCGGTGTTCGTTCCTGCGCAGAAACATACCGTGCGGCTCACTGAGTGCGCAGCTAATGAAAAATGCGCCGCATTTTTGATTAGCCTAAACGATTTAAAAACCGCATGCAAGCGATTTGGCGAGCGACAATACAAGCGACGGCGACCCGCTTCGCTGTCGCTCGGTCGCTCGCGCGACGGGTCAAACCGCATGAAGGCGACGGGAGCAAACGACCAAGGCTATGAGCGCTAAGTTTTCTAGAAATCCAAAACCCGAGCTACGCGACGAGCGACAGTGAAGGGTGAACCGCACCTATGCGATTTAGCGAGCGACGAGACGAGCGACGGCGACAGCGACGGGAGTCGGCGACGAGCGACGGAGATTTCTCACGGTCACTCGTCGCGTCGCTCGGTTTTTGGATTTCTAGAAATCGTAGCTCATCGCCTTGGTCGCTTGCTGCCGTCGCTTTTATGTGGTTTGTCTCGTCGCGCGAGTGACGGAGCGACAGCGAAGGGGGTCGCCGTCGCTTGTGTCGTCTCGTCGCTCGCTAAATTGCTTACATGCGGTTCAGCCTTTACACAAGCTACTCAGCGGCAACAAGGAAATTAAAACGGCCGGCTCCCAAGATAAACTTTTTTCACTCTTCTGTTCAACGAAGCTTCTTCAACGATATTAGCAGACATACCGACGGACGACCGCGTACCCAAGCCAGTCAAACCGCGACCTCGAAGATGGCGGATCGACGGTGGCGCTCCCTGGCAAAATTAAACCTGCAGGCTCCATGGATACCACCTATATATATATATATATATATATATATATATATATATATAGCGCATATAATAAACCAAGGGGTTGGTTCTGCTGGGGACTACGTTGCTGTCTGTTCCTTCCTCGTGCCGCAAGGCACACGAATGTTTGAACGATCGCTCACCCGATGGCGCGGCGTGTCCGCGAGGCAGCGGCTGCCCCGTTCCACGCCCAGGGACAGCGCGTTGTGCGCCGCAAATTAAATAAGGGAGCAAAGAGCGGCGTGAATGCTTTCGCATCCACAACTCATAAGAAATGCTTAGGTGTACCTCGATCCTTTTTTTTTCATTTGTTAGTAGTAAACGTTACAGGTCGAGCTAGCGCAGGTACACTGCCAGCTCCGCGGTAGT